ATGTTTAATTTATCACGATTGCCAAATTAATACTTTAGTTTGGAAGGGGCTACAGACCTGGAAGGATTAGGGTATTACAAGAAATCCTATATTAGAAGTTTTGTCATAATAATTCGGAGAAGTGTGTCTCATAGTCATGTTGTTATGTACCGGTGTAACTTGCATCTAGTGATTTAGTAGAGGGCTATTACACGGACGTGGGCCCTGCAGACATAAGAGAGTTCTCCGAACTGCGTAAACATATATGTGTTATTTTTTACGCATTTTATACTTACAGCATTCTGCTCAGTACGCGCTATAACACCCTCTACATCATCTGTTTCTATGTGTGTGCTTGTGAAGAAAAAGGTGTTATAACACCCTCTCTGTCATTTGTTACTGTGACGGTGTTGTAGTAGCTTCTCTGCAACTTAGTTAATTGATTTCAATTAATTCATAATCAAATCATTTGATATCTATATAAATTGAATTTCTCTGTTGTAGTAGCTTCTCTGCATTGAACATCTATATAAATTGAATTTCAATTCATAATCAAATCATTTGATATCATGCACATAATGTTCAGTTCAGATATTCAATCATCAATATTCATCATTCATATTCAACATGCATAGTGTCGACAATGCTAATAGACTATTCTTAGTCTAAGGCCAATTTCTTTAATGTTTACCAACTCTTAAACTAATTCTAGTTTAAGGTACTTCTATCTAACTCTTAACCTAATCTAATTTAAGGTGTAAGTTTTCAAAAGATTTTCCAACTCTTCGACTAGTCTTAACTTAAGGTACACAATAACCGAATAACAGAATGCTCATTGTCGGGTTGGGTGTTATCCCCAAACAAGTGATCTTCTAGTTTAGTTTGCAGATTCTGTATGTACATTTTTACCCAGGCCACCGAATATTCATAGTTATACCCGCAAGGCCTATCTCTAATCTATGTTAGAGGTCTTCTAGATAATATTAGAAATCAATCTCAACATGAATATATCTTAGAGGGCTTCTATATATCCTTTACAATACAATCAATTCATAATTATCAATGTATTCGTTTTAAATCATGGTTCAATCACAATAATCATTTTAATAAGTAGGTTCATCAATTCAACATAATCATTCATAACAATAGTCATCATAATATTCAATAACATATAGCGGCCTAGCGTCGAGTGTTAACACTCTAGCTTACCGTCATGCATCAAACAAGATTCTTGGATTTACCAAAACATCATATTTATTTCCAAAAATCATATTAATATAGATTATATTTGATTGGTATAAAAAATAGGATTTAATAGTTCAAAAACAAGTTTTAGAAAATTTCTCGAGATAGACGGTACCCTTAACGGTACCTTGGTGCCGACGTACGGTACCTTGGTACCACCCAGACGGTACGGGGTACCGTTTGGCATCATGTACCGCCTGAGGAAATGATTTTCTGCGGTGGAGACGGTAGCTGGCCTACCGTCCCGGCGGTACCAAGGTACCGTCCGGACGGTAGCTGGCTACCGTTTTGCGCCTAGTTTTGAACAATGTCATCTTCAACCTCGGCCAATTTTCAGAAATATCATTTTTAGTCACCAAACTTCAATTAAACTATGTAGAAATGTTTTCCAAGGTTCATAAGTAATTTTGGTATCATTAGTTCGTAGTTTTAACAATAATTTCAAGGTTTATGATTATTAGTTATTCAAGCATGTCAAGCACAAAACTCAACCAAACGACCATTTATGAACGGAGAAACCATCTATACGAATATTCTAGTCATTAGATATATTTACGGGCTTACCTCGAAGCTAAACGGCTTGCTCCGGTGACTTCGCACCAAATTGACAGCACTACAACACTCCCCACACTTAGAACTCTCTTTTGGAAGAAGAATGGTGAAGGTTTGAGGGGTTTATATAGTGGAGGAATAGAGGAAGAAACCAATGGATGATGTTTCCGTTTCCCTGTTTCAGTGGCTGAGTGGAGCAAACGATGCAGTTCTGGGATTTTGTACATTATCCTTGATTGGGACTAATTTGTTCCCAGTAGGGGTACACTTTTTAGTCCAACTTTCTCCAAATTAAAATCTGAATGAACCGTTGGGGTCAGATAATCAAACTTTACACAACGATATAATTTTCATTATTTATTGAATCAACTCCCAACTTTCGGAGTGTTACACTTACCTAGGCTCTACTTCCAACTTTCTTACATGTTTCAGCTTTTTGAATCAACTTACCATTTCTTAAGAGCATAAAGGTCTTAAGAAATGGTAACGAGTATACCTGAAAAACTGGAGTAAGTAATGGTAAAGAGACAAATAATATTCCTCTAAATAAGTATAGAGACTCAAAAACAGTTTGTTGACAGTAAGTATAACCAGTATGAGTATGACAGATTATATCTATATATGTAAAAACAATTTGCAATACAACTATATGTGTATATTTTGTAAAACAATGTATACTATATGTAAAATGAAGGTTTGTATAATATTTCAGAAAGTCTTTTAAGACCTTTCCCGACAACGGCACCAAAAATTTGTTGAACACTTGTCAGATGTTACAAATTTAAATCCCTTTGAAACCACTAAATAAATAAAAGGTACTTTAGTAGTAGTAAGGGGTCGAATCCTCGAGGAAGGTGTATTTCGAAAATATTTTTTACTTTGAAAACAAAGGAATAATATAAATGGTATTTATAAAACAGTTCACACTCACACACGCTTAGGGAGGGGGTATTTTGAAAATAAATTTAAAGATAACTAACAAGAGATAATATGTAAATCTAACTGTTTTGTGTGTGAAAAGAGCAAGATATATTCAGAACTTTAAAGTATTTCCTTATATTTTGAAAAGAACTTGGTTTGATGTTGAACTTTTCAAACTCGCTTTTGCCAAATCATTAACTCAGAGGGTTATGTGGGTAAAATCAGGACCAAGGTTGTAGGAAATTGGCACCAAAGAGCTAATCAAATTTCCTCCACCACTCTTTTAAGTAATAGCCTTAGTTAACCCGGCATCAACTAAGACCCTATCCTGTAAACTAGAACCTAGTGTCCAGCCCCTAAGTTATAGATCACAAATTGCATTATTTTCTCTTTGTATGGCCTTGATTCTTCCTCAACATCCCACCAGCGAGAAGTTGAGAAAGATAACCTGGAACAGATGGTTAATACGACCCTAAGGATGATCCAATGTCACTGTTGGTTCCCTAAGGTCTTCCTAGACATCCTTTAGATAAGTTTTCTAGATGATCAGGCTAGATTATTAGCTAAAATTAGTTTCATATGATTCCTATTCCAGATTTCCTGACTCTAATCATACTTTAAGAAAATGGATTATGAACTTCAGAGGCAAAAACTTTGTTTCATTATCCAATCATCAAATCAAGCCTACACACTACTCACTCATGGTGAAAACATTGAAGCACTCATGGGCAGGGATTTAAAACAAACAACATCCATTTCTGTTTTGAAGTGATGTGCAGTTCAACAACACAATGTTTTACAGAGAGAAATGAAATCAAAACAAGGGCAATCAGCTCATATTAACAACATATCTCAGATACGAAACCTAGGTGACAAATTTTGAAGGAATCAAGCTTAATACCCTTGAAATCCTTTGGTTCTCCTCTCTGATTGCTGAATTGAATGAAGTCCTTGCAAATCCTCTCTCATTTGCTCCCCTTTCTGCCTTCTTGTCCTTTTACGCAATCCTCACATTTACAAGCGAAGCTCGTCCAGGTGATTCGAACGATTGTATTCGTATACTCACACTTGCCGGAAAAGATGGTGGCGAAGCCAATTTTTGGCGAGGAGATCTTAAGTAACGCCCCTTAATTTTTGGCTAAGCCAAAACTTAGACTAAAACTTTTAATGAATAAATATTCAATTAGTCAAATTTGTTTTTATTAAAATAATTTGTTGTTGGGCTTTGGCCGAAAAAAAATGTGTTTTGATATCCAAATTAAGATAAGTCTCATAGAAATAAATTCAACATGTTGACTTATTGTGTGATCTTAATTGGGAACTTAAGTACAGACCCAAATTAAGAATAAATGAAGAATTTGTTTATGATGTAAACATTGTGATTATTTATTGAAAGAAATCATGAGAATAAGTTATATGAATTAAATTAGAGAGCTTTTTTGGAATGAAGGTCAACTAAATCAATTCTGACTCTGTCAAAGTCAACCACCCAAAAAGATCCTGCCAAAAAAAGTATTTAAAATAAATATAAAAACTATATTGTTGAATAGAACTTGACTGTCTGATTGCAACGGTGCAAACGGAATTCAATTCGGATAAAGTTGGACCAAAAAGTGTACCCCGACTGGAACCAAACTTAGTCCCAATCAGGGACGGCGCCTCCTCCTCCACTATCGCTGAACGTGAATCTTCTTACGCAAAACACACTCAGCATTTGTTTCCTTCCTTCTCTTCTTTCCTATAAGAGAAGAACTCAATTCTCTCATTTCTTTACCAAATTGAATAAACTTAGTGTTAAAATGTTCCTGAGAGTAAGGAGATCATTCTACAATAGTTAGTTGCCGCCGAGGTTGCTGGAGCAAGTCGTGGTGTTCGCCGGAAGTTTCGCCGTTAAATTGCCGGAATCATCGTTTAGCTTCGAGGTAAGCCCGTAGATATATCTAATGACTAGAATGTTAATAAAGGTCGTTTCTACGTTCATAAATGGTTATTTGGTTGAGTTTGTGTTTGACATGCTTGAAGAACTAAGAATCATAACCCTTGAATTTGATGTTAAAACTATGAATTAATGATGCCAAAATGATCTATGAGCCTTGGAGAACATTTCTATATAGTTTAATTGAAATTTGGTAGCTCAAAATGATATTTTCAAAGCTTGAACCGAGGTTGAAGACGAAGTACTGTTCCTGATTCGAATGCAGCACGCAGTAGCGGTAATGCACTACCGTGCGACGATAATGCAATACCGTGCGACGGTAATGCACTACTGTGAGACAGTAGGGTGGTACCGACACAGACCATTTTAGCCTGTCCAAAATCTTTATGTTCGGAAATTAACTCCAGAAAATGCTATCATGATATTTTTCCACTCCAAGACAGAAATGAAACCATTTTTAAAGTAAATATAATATTTTGATTAATCCAAATATGTTATTTGATGCATGACGGTAAGCTAGGGTGTTAACACTCGAAGCTAGACCGCTAATTGCTATTGCTTTGAATGTTACGTTAGTTGATGATTATGATGTATGACTATTGTGAATTAATGACGAGGATTATAATGAATAAAATGATGATTACGAAGTATTGAACTAGAATCAAAATAAATGGATTGATGAAAAATGAGTTGTATTGTTAAGGCTATCTAGAAGATCTCTAAGATAGACCTCAAATTAGAATGGGCCTTGCGGGTATAATTATGTATATTCGGTGGCCTTGGGTAAAAACGTACGTACGGGATCCATAAACCAAACTAGAGGCACTCATTTGGGGATGCCACCCAACCCGACAGTTAGTATTCTACTGTTCGGTTTTCTGGACTTGTACCTTAAGCGAAGGCTAGTTTAAGAGTTGGTAAATTAATTGGAAAATATGCACCTTAAACTAAGGACCTAGCTTAAGAGTTGGTTAGAAGTACCTTAAACTAGAATAAGTTTAAGAGTTGGTAAATATCACAAAGATTGGCCTTAGACTTAGCATAGTTTAAAGATATTGTTGAATATTGAATGTGAATGTTGATTATTGAAATATTGAAATAAAAATATTGAGAATATCATGAATGACTTATATATTGTGTGCATGATATCAAATGATTGTTTGTGAATTGTGTTGAAACACGGCCTTGTCACGTTTTCGTACTAAAGCCGTGTTCGTTTTTGTAACAGGTTTTGATAATGCCAAACCGCCGTGATCAAGTCAAACATTGAATATACAAGGCGAAGAACGAAGATAAGAGCAAGAGCTAAACGAAGACCAAAAACGAAGACCTTAATCATAGTATTGAGTCGGTCTTTATTGTGATCAAGACCGACCCAATCTTTACACCTTGGCTCTTTAGGCTAAAATCTCTCATTGCATTTCTTACATCATAAAAATGTTTTTCAAACTTGTTTAAGCCATTAAAAACACTTGGTGTTCGCCCAAACCAAAAACCAAGCCATCCAGTGTTCGGCTTTAAGAAACCAGCGTTCGGCTTTCGGTTGTCGGGTTTGGTTTTTGGCATCCGAACCAACCAAGTGGTTTTCAGCATTTTATGATCTGCTTTCACTCTTTGGCATGTTTAAACGGTTCTCCAACAAAAACACTTTGAAAACCATCTCTCGTTTTTAGTCGTTTGACAAAAACCACGCAAAACGGC